CTCTTGTATGCATGTATCGACAACAGCCTGGTCGCTGACACTTCAAAGCGCGGTGTGCCCACTGCAACCGTGGCAATCAACAATTCCACTAATGCTGCCTTGCTCGCCATCCGATTTCTTGGCGCCTTCATCCCCGATCTACTGGAAAAGATGAAGAAGTACCAGCTGGAGATGGAGCATCAGGTCAAAGACAAGGCCACCACGTTGAGGGATATTGATGTGGATGCATATCTGGCAAAGATGGGCAAAAAATAAGGATTGTACATATGTGGCGAATATGTTTGCATTTGGAAGCACGCAGTCTTCGACAGAGATATTCCCGTCCATCATTCGACGCAAAAAATCTGTCAACGCCATGCTTTGCACCTCAGGGCTCGAAGATGGGAAGCCGCTACGAATGGATGAACTCGGCAGCCGGACTTGAATCCCGTGGCAGGCCTCGAGGCAAGTATTGCGTGACTTTCCACACGCGGTCAACTCAACTCGCGATGGGCAATTCAAGTTCTGTGTCGTTCGTACCTACAGTCGATGTTGGGACAGACCACACCTTGAATCAGAAAGTCAACCTTTGAAGGCTGAATTTGACATTTCAAACGTGACCTAGACGATGCTGCCTACACTACGGGGTAACCGACTATCCATTCCTATTGCATGACGGTAATGGCGTCACTGCAGGACTGCGTGGCCTCACCCGAAAAAGCGAGTTATATCAATCCTGGACTGAAATTCAAACATGTACCTCCAGAATAGAACAGGCATACTTACCGAGGTAGGCAGACAGAGAATGAGACACCAGCCGCATAACATCAAGACCTTGAGTTTGGCGCACCAACCCCTCAGCGAATTTCTCACGTCTTCAAAGCAAAGCCCTCATCAATAACAAATTCCCTCCTCCCAGCATCATCCCCCCTCGCAAACGCAACCCACAAACTCTTCACCTCATCTCCAACCCTCTCCACGACCTCGTGCATGCCATTGCCCTCCATCATCGGCGCGTCTTTCCAGCTGGCCCAACTCCCCAGCAAGAACGGCATATCCACTGTGTGCGCTGCTCCCCAGGGGCTCTGGTCAGGCGTAATGTTGAACTCGTAAAACCAGGGCTGCTCCGCTGGCTCGGCACCTTTGATCTTTTGATATAGCTCGTTGGACTCAGTTTTAAACCAAGCTTTGCCGATATACTCGGCGGGTGACAATTCCATCTCTGGCGGCCGTACCAAGGGGTCCATGTTGTTGAAGAGCGGTACAAACGCAGTTCCTTCGTCTTTGGTATACCCTATGAAGATGGGTACACGTCGAATCGCTTCGTCCAGCCGCTTGTCAAATGTCTCTGTATCTGGCAGCGGATCATGGTTCATTATAGGGCCAAACGACAAGCCGGCCGTAGCAAACGACAACCCCTTCATCGCCAGCTGGCCCTGGATCGTCAGCAATTCCTCCACAGAGGCAGCCCCGGGATCCCCGGGCACCAGCTCTGAAGCCAGACTCTCCAAAGCATCCAGCATCTCTTGCCGATCCGATAACCGCGCCCCCAGAGGCGTGCTCTGCATGATGGCCCTTTGGAACAGCCCCTCTGTGCCATTCGCCCCCATCAGACAGTATATAGAGTCCGCGCCGGCTGACTCTCCGAATACACAGACCCTCTTTGGGTCGCCTCCGAAGGATTCGATATTCCCCTGAACCCATTTCAAGGCGGCTATCTGATCCATCAGCCCCAGGTTGGCGGGCGCTCTTCCGCGGATGGGTTGGTAACCCAATATCCCCAGGCGATACGTGATGTTCACCACTACAACGCCCTTCTTTGCGAGTCCCGCGCCGGAGTAGCAGTCGAGATCTCCTGCGCCAGAGGAATACCCTCCTCCGTGGATGAATACCATTACCGGCAGAGACGGCGACGGGTTCGACGCCGGCGCGAATACGCTGACGCGAAGACAGTCTTCCGACATGGCTCGGCTCTGAGCAATGGGGCCGTTGAGTGCGTCCAGACGGGATTTTAGTTGCGGGCATATAGGACCCGGTTGGGTGAAGTCCTTGACCGAGGACCAATCTGCCATCGGCTGAGGCGGTTGGAAACGCTCGGCTTGCGCGTAGGGAATGCCGCGTGCTACGAGGATGTTGTCATTTTTCAAGACGGTAATTTTGCCGTTTGCCAGTTGGAGTGTGATTTTTGATGCGTCTGCCATGGCGTAGGAGTGGTGGCTATCCCCGAGTGTCTTGAAGGATGAGATGTTGTTGCACAAAGCCGATTCAACATGATCAGTTGAAGAGTCGGCAGATATGCATATATATATGCCATGTACCTACTTAGGCAGGTAGTCAACGTCGGCCAAAAAAGCCCCTAGAACCCCAAAGAAGAAACCTTGACGTCAAAGATTTGCATATTATCTATTGGCACAACTTTCCAACACACACGGTAAGAGACATCCTCCGTCCCTTCCGGTCATCGGGATGATCCGTCACTGGTCGCCACAATGGAGAGGCTACGGAAGCCTTTCCTGTTTGGCATTGGCAAACATCGGCCGTGTAACCTCGTAATAATGCCGCCGCTTCAGAAGGTCAAACGACAAATAGCCGCACGGCGATCGGGACTTTGAACCGGGAAGCGCGAGGTCCGATTGTCCGATGTTGTCGGCGTATCGGAGCACACTAACCATCACCCAAGAATCGTTCAACAAGATGAGACGTGATTGATAAACATCAACGATACAGTAGCATTTAGAACATAGTAAATACAACTCCAGCGACATCTGCTACGTTTGCAGTGCATGCCGGATGTAGGTATGGGGCTCCCAACCATAAATTCTTGCGGCGCTCCGAAGCATCCAACTCTCTTCTCTTCCTCCATCTACAGCCATCCCCTCCCTCTAATCTAGATGGACAAAGTACGCTTTATAATTACTGGCCAGGAGAAACAAGCTTGCCTTGTGACCTCGTGTTGGCCTCCCATCCACCAGCCAGAGCTGCACCGCCGTTCTCCTGAGCAAACTTCTGCATTCTAGCCTCCAGCTCGGGTCGGAAGTGGCGGATAAGACCCTGGATTGGCCAGGCGAAAGCCTCTCCCAAAGCTATGCGTTATTTCAAGTCAGTCTCGCAATTGGCTTTCGTACTGGTTTGGAGTAGGAGTGTTTGTGCTTACCGCAAATGGTGTGGCCCTCAACCTGCTTCGTCAACTCCTGAAGCATATCGATTTCTCGCTCCCGTCCCTGACCACGCTCGAAACGAGACATGATCTGCTCAGTCCACTTGCTGCCCTCACGGCAGGGAGTGCACTGGCCGCAGCTCTCGTGTCGGTAGAAGTGGCTAAGTCGGGAAATGGCACGGACAACGTCGGTGCTCTTGTCCATGACGATGACAGCAGCAGTTCCAAGACCAGACTGGCTATCCTTGAGAGCATCAAAGTCCATGAGCTGGTCGTCGCAGATGTTCTTGGGCAAAATGGGGGTCGATGAACCGCCAGGGATAATAGCCAAGAGGTTGTCCCAGCCACCACGTACACCACCGCAATGCTTGTCAATGAGTTCACGCAGGGGAATGGACATCTCTTCTTCAACCGTGCAAGGGTTGTTGACGTGGCCAGAGATACAGTACAGTTTGGTGCCTTGGTTGCGCTCACGACCGAAGCCAGCAAACCAGCTTCCTCCGCGGCGACAAATGGTAGGGGCAACGGCAACAGTCTCGACGTTGGCGACGGTTGATGGACATCCGAACAGACCGACGGCGGCAGGGAACGGGGGCTTGAGGCGAGGTTTGCCAGGCTTGCCCTCGAGGGACTCAATCAAGGATGTCTCCTCGCCGCAAACGTAGGCACCGCCACCACGGTGGATGAATACGTCAAAGTCGTAGCCAGAGCCGCAGGCATTCTTTCCGATCAACCCGTCTTTGTAGGCCTCATTGATGGCGTTCTGCAAGACGGCAGCTTCGTAGACGAATTCACCTCGAATGTAAATGTAGGCAGCGGTCGCGTTCATGGCTCGGCCGGCGACAAGGCAACCTTCGACAAGCTTGTGGGGGTCCTTTCGCATGATTTCGCGGTCCTTGCAGGTTCCGGGTTCACCCTCATCAGCGTTGACAACCAGGTATCGGGGTTTGGTGTCCTTGTCCCAATCCTTGAAGTTCATAAAAGACTGTATATTTTGAAAAGAAAGAGGCAATCGGGTTAGAATTCAGGCGTCTCACAGTGTCCCTGGGGCGAAGTTGATAAGAGAAACATACCCACTTGAGACCAGACGGGAAGCCGGCGCCACCGCGGCCTCGTAGGCCAGAGGCCTTGATCTCGTTGATGATCCAGTCGTGACCCTTGAGTATAATTTCCTTCGTTTTGTGCCAGTCGCCCATCTTTTTCGCGCTCTTGAGGTCCGGCGGGAATCGGCCGTAGAGATTCTGGAAAATACGATCTTGGTCCTTGAGACCTCCGTATGTTCGCTTGGGGGTTCCATCCTGCACTGTGGCGAGGCCCCTCACGGCGTTCCGCGAGAGACTCACGGCCTTGCTTGGTGCCGCTCTCGAGGACAGCATTATGTCGTTGTCCGGTTGGGCGGCGGGTTGGGGGTGGTGATGAGGTCGTGGATGTGTCGTGAAGATGCTGTGCGGTACTTGGCGGCGAGATTTGTCCAATGTCAGCGTCAGAATTGCGGGCAATCTGGTTGGCCAATGCTAGGTGTGGGCTATACCACCCGCATTGTTAGCCGCTACATACTGTCCCTTCTAGATGAATTGAGAGACAAAGTACTCTCCATCACAGCATCTGGTCATAGAAGGCCCCACAGTGTCCCCATTTCTCCTTCCCAACCGATGCGAGCTAATATTGAGTGGCAAAGAAGTTGGTCCAAAATCGTGGAGCTCTATGCAACCTTGTCCCGAAACGCCATCGTACCGGACAGTTTGCCTGCATCCCAAGGGCGAGATTTTGGGCCCTCCCTCAAGAATATGAGTCTTGCGGCAACCATTGCTAAAGGCATGGGACCATAAATTTTCTAGGTTGCTCATTTCATCAATAGCTTGCCATGTCGAGCAAGAGACACTCAATTCTCCCGGCCATTGACCGCAGTGGCCCCAAGCCGCCCGTTAATTTCTCGTCGTCGCTCACCATCTCCGACAATGCTATTCTACAAGGCACACATTCTATTACGATGCAGTCAGAAACTGTAGTTCACCCTCGGTCACGGTTCGAATCCAATCTCGGCAGCATACTCATAGGACGACGGTGTATCATCCACGAACGAGCTTACATCGGAGCGCGTCCCGCCGATTTAGATACCGCCAAGCCAGGAGGCGTTGCACTAGGAGACTACGTTGTCGTTGAGGTTGGAACAGTCATTGAGGCAGGCGATACCGAAATTGGCGAGGGGACTACCTTGCAAGTCGGGTGCAAGATTGGCAGCGGCACCAAAATCGGAAGACATTGCACAATCTCCCAGAAGTCGGTTATCCCTCCGGGTGAACATCTGCCTGATTACACCGTGGTTTACTCAGATGGCTTACGCCGATTGGATAGTCGCGGTGTCACTGACATGCGGAAACTTGGACTGGTTAAGCAAATTGCTGTTCTAAAGAAAATGATACCCAGCAACCCGGACAAGTTTAAGTGATGCAACGAGCAAACCTCGACATGCGATATTTACCACATCCAATTTGTACCATCAATACGCTAGATTACATATATGCGCGGAGGCTTAGTGACTCATAGCGTCTTCGAAGAGTCTGCGGAGCTGTTCCTTCTCAGTTTGCAGTTCCTTATCTAATCCTGGAGCCAACATGAGTACGCGAGCCTGCGGAATAGTGCCTTCGACAAGGGCGTCAATGTGCTGGCTTCCAAAGCCAAGCTCTTTGAGACCTGCGGGCTGATCACCTAGGTCGGCAAGGAACTTGGTCAATGCCTCTGCCAACACCTCACCAGCACTTTCCAGCTTCACATTAGATGTGTCAACGCCAAAAGCCTCAGCAGCTTCGAGATGTCTCTGGGGATTTGAAGCAGCAGTGAATCGGAAGACAGCGGGAGCAGAAACAGCGACGGAGACGCCGTGGGGAATCAAGGGTGCCGGCACGTCGTAGCCGGCGTGTTTATATCCAGGGTTCTGTCCAGAGATGGGATAAGACATGCCTAGGTAAAAATATCAGTCTAAAGCCCCTACTACTATTGCAGCATGACAATGGGGTCGGTTTGACGTACCGTGACACAAGTGAACGCCCGCGTTTCCAAAGCCGACGCCAGCAAGAGTGGCCGCAAGGAGCATCTCGCTCTGCGCCTCGAAGTCATCGGGATCCTTGACAGCTCGAGGCAGGTACTTGACCGTGCGGCGAAGAGCATGGAAGGAGAAGACATCCGATATGGGATTGGCGCCCTGATAAGCCGGTCTCATAATTGGGTTTGGTGGACGGGGAGTGCGCTCATTGTAAGGAATGGCCGTCCAAGACTCCAAAGAGTGGCAGAGCACGTCCAGTCCGGAGCTGGCCTTGACAGCAGCAGGCATGGTACGTGTATTGATGGGGTCACAGATTCCCAGCGTAGGCTTCAAGTTTCTGTGAGCGACACCAGTCTTGGCTCGCTTGGACACAAGGTCAAAGATGGCTGTGCCGGTGGTCTCACTTCCAGTTCCCGCAGTGGTAGGAACAGCAATAAGCGGGCAGAGAGGTTTGTCGATAGGTCGGCCCTTTCCGAGGGGAGCATTGACAAAGTCCAAAAAGTCAGCGTCGGGGTAGTTCAAGTACAGGTTCATTAACTTGGCCGTATCCATGACCGACCCGCCGCCGACGGCCAGGAAGGCGTCTGGCTGGTACGGACGAACCCATTCGATAGCTTCCTTGATTCTGTACACCGAGTCAGCCTCGCATTATGATATCTCAACAGCACAAAATCAGTAACACTGCCGACTTACGAGCTGTCTTTCGGCTCGATTCTCACATTGGAGAAGACCTCAAAGCTGATGCCCTCTCTTGTCAACCCCTCCCTCACCTGTCTCATGGCGTCCAACCTGTCCACAGTAGGATCCGTGACAACACACACCTTCTTCGCGCCCATGTTTTTGAAATCCATGCCGACTTCCTGGGTTACGCCCGGGCCAAAGCGGATGGATGAAGCCGCCATCTCAAAGGCATATTCCTTCAACCCTTGGTTGACGGATGTGGGGGTAGCATATTGCCGACGACCTGCCTCTCTCGCACGGGGCACAATAGACGGAGGGGCTTTGTGATAACCTGGGTTGGAGTGGCAGGGACATGAAGGCGGGTGTGTATATTGAATCGTACGAAGGAGGCTCGTCGCCCGCTTCGCAGCCTATTCCATGTACATGTTTGTAAGTCATGAGTTCACGTTGTCTGCGTTTGGAGGAAGAGGATGGCTTACGTTAGGAATCACACGGACGGGTGCGACCATGGTGGTTTTCGTGCCGGGATTAATGTGTAAATGGTGCTCCCAGTCTCTTGGGTTGGGGAAGTATTGACAGGTGCAGACAGCCAAGGTGGTGTGAGATGGAGATGATGGTGTGGAGGGAATCCACCGGTGCGGAGTGGTTGAGCCTCGGGTATTGATTGATTGAGGCTGGTGAGCCGGTGAGTGACACGCGACCCGGTTGTGGGGGAAGCTTTTTTGAGTTTCACCCGGTGTTGAAACAGAAAAACCGGGGTCAATAATTTGCAGTGTCTTGCGTGGGGATATGGATGCAATCATCACACATGTACGGAGTACGGAGTACACGTCGAAGTGGTAACTCAATTGATGTGCTGTGTGCACCAAGTTACATGTCAACGGTCGTTGGGCTGGTCTGGAACACCACAGCAATCCAACGGCTTACCGGTCAGACGGGTCAGACGAGTCAACGACCGTCATCGCACACTTTCAGGTAGCATCATGCAATTCGCTGTCCTATACGAGGCGGTCACCGTGTGTATTTAACTGACCACATTGTCCCCGACGTTTGAGGTGCCAATTCCGCACCACACATTTTGTCTATGCTTGCCCACTCTTGATCTGACTTGGACAGAGAACATTGAACAGACAGACAGTCCAGCATGTCGTCGTCTGCTGGAGCTCGAATTAGACAGGCCCTTCCTCAACTTTCACTGGGAAAATGGCCACCAGGGACGCTCACCTCCATCACGGACGTGCCAGGGGTTCTTGTTCGCACAGAGTCCATTCATACAGATGATCAGAGTGTCAACACTAGTGTTACAACAATCCTGCCAAGGAAGAACTGGCACGAGCATGCAAGCTTTGCCGGCACGTTTCGCTTCAATGGCTGTGGCGAGATGACAGGCACGCATTGGATCGATTAGGCTGGTCTCCTCACATCGCCCATTATCATGACGGATTTCACGTCGGTAGGAGATGGATACCGTGGCATCATGGAGCATGCGTATCGCAACTTCACCGATGAGAAGACCGGCGAGATGGAATTGTTCATATTCCCCGTCGTCGCAGAAACATTCAATGGCTACCTCAAGGACCAAAGCAAGTTTGCAGTGACGCCGGAGCACATTATTCGAGGCGTTAACAAGGCGACGGCAGACCGAGTGCCAGAGGGCAACACCAGAGGTGGAACGGCAATGTTATGCCATCGCTATAAGGGCGGCACGGGATCCAGCAGCAGAACGATCAATGGATACGATATAGGTGGTAATCCGGCAACGTATACCGTGGGAGTGTTGGTGCAAGTGAATTATAGCTCCCCCGAGAATGTCCACGTCGGTGGCATACCACTTGGCCGGATCCTCAAGGAACCGGAAATGGAAATCGCGTCTCTAAAGGATAGTGGTGATGGATCCAAGGAACCTCGCAAAGACGGCAGCATCATCCATTATAGCAACAGATGCGCCTCTGGTCCCTATCCAGCTACAGAGGCTTGCAACACGCGCGACAGTCGGGCTAGGCAAGGTTGGCGGCTACGGGAGGGACATTTTCCTCGCCTTTTCAACCGCAAACAAGATTGCGTTCCAGGAGTTCTCAATGCAGGGACAGAGCGGGCCAGCCGTAGACCAGTATAAGCCGTTTCTGAGAGCTATTCAGATGAGCGACAATGATTCAATCAACTGTCTGTTCGAGGCAGCTGCGGATGTCATCGGGGAGGCAATATACAACAGAGTTTGCATGGCTGGGACAATGACGGCCGAAGCAATAGATTTGGACAAAATGAAGGAAATCGTCGGCGCACGACTGGTTTGACGGGGTCGGAACCGTTGGAACCGTTGCATCATCACACCTGATACAGAGGCGTTTGAAGTTGAAGCTGGTGGCGATGCTGATGGTCACAGGCTGAGGGTTGATAATGTAAATTACCGCTTCTGCGGTCAAGTAGCTTTAAGCGTCCATGGGCCGATGTGATGGCGGTTGGGATAGATGGCTGCTGAGATGATGGCCCCTCACGGATGAAGCGACAAGGGAGATCCCAGTTGAAGTTCAATGTTCTTTTCTGGAGCTGGGCGGAAGGGATCATCAGATGACGGCACTGGGAGGTACAGAGTACTTGAGTACGCGAGTTGACGTACTTTCTAGAGTACCAAAGCTGGGCGTGGATGGACCAACCACAAGCCCGGAGCTGCACCCTCCCTGTCCCGCCCACCTCACCAGTTGACCAAGTTCCAGCCCCAGACAGCCAGCCCTCCTGATACTTGTCCTACCTCAATTTCTACCTCAATCCAAACCTCAACCTCGGCGACGGCTTTGACATCTCCACATCGAATCTGCCGAACACGCCTGTCTGTCATAGTCTAAACCGTTGCTGCATCTCGCAGCTGCAGCGCGCAAGCACAGGCAGAGTCTCCGTCATAGCCCTGCTGATCTCCGTCACCCTCCCCCGTCTGCGTTTCCGTCAGATCGACGACCATGCTCTCGCCTCCTGTCTCCGTTGCCGACGCCCCTTCATGATCCCGCTCGACGACGCGCTTACAGATGGACCGCGGGAATGGAGCCGGCCCTGGCGCTACTGCCGCCTCGAGGGCGGAGCGATTCGAGGATGAAAAGCGCCGCATAATCGAAAGCTGCTTTAGCAAAAAGGACACTGATGGCTCCCGTAAGTGCTGGGCCCGATGCTGTTCCTGAAGCCGCTGGCGTCAAGGAGTTTGGGGTATGGCTTTGGCAATGCCACGACTGAGCTTCTGGCACACACGAGCCCTGCCTATCCAATTCACAGCCAAAAAGCCTCAAGCTTGATATGTCAAATCAAATAATGGTAAACTAACCTCAGGGACACACTAGTTCTCGAGACCTACATCACGCACATTCGCACCATCGAATATTCCTCCCATCCGTCAACCCCCCCGCCACCACAGGCTCGTACCCCCGAAGTCGAGAAAGCCAGAGTCATCATTGTGGCAGTACGCAAGTCGGGCCGGGTTCGCATGCACAAATCAAAAGAAAATGCCAACGGAACCTTTTCAATCGGCAAAACATGGAACCTTGATGACCTGACCCATATTGGCTCCTTCACTGGACCCCAGGTGAAGCCAAACAATCGAGAATGGGGAGGCGACACTGGCTTTTTGGTAACTCTTGGCAAGCCCTACTACTGGGAGGCACAGACCGACAAAGAAAAGAAGTTCTTCATTGCCAGCCTAATCAAAATTTACGGAAAGTATACTGGTGGCAAGACCCCCGAGCTGGCCGGTTTTGATCAGAAAGAGCTTGACCAAGTGTTGGGCGCCGGGAGACGACCTGCTGCATCTGCGTCACGACCTCCCCCCCTTGAGCAAACTCCTAGTCAGCAGAGCGTAGTTTCGGGTTCTCCAGCGCCAAGTCTTCCGCCTGTGCCCTTAGCTTCGCCGTTGGTGCCACCACCGATTTCGAGTGCGCCTGATCCCGCTCGGTTCCAGAAGAGCCCTGTGGCTCTGCGACAGCCGTTGAACGGCGGCAATTCACCTGCAGGTAGCTTCGAATCGGCAATCTCAAGGGATCGTCCGGGGGATCGTCCGGGTCCAAGATGGACAAACCAAGCGAACAGGAGTCAGGATTCTGTGGCCAACTCATTCACTACCGCGAGAAGCGAAGATACGTCTAGTCAACCGCCTCGTTCTCGAAATGGTATGAATGGTCCTGGAGCATTTGGGCGCTTTGGGGACTCCCGAGAACCTCCTGAAGCTCCCCAAGAACCGCTTCCCACACCTCCTCCTCAAGGACCTCCGCAATCAGAGGGGAAGCCACCTCCAGAAAGACGACGCCCGCCAATGGATCCCACTCGACCTCAAGACCGCGATCTTGTTCCTCCGCCCCTGAACAGTCCAACAGTGAGAAAGGAACCTGTTGCCCCACCACCCAGAAGTAGTGATAGAATATCACCTAGGACTGATACTAGCCAAACGCCTCCCGCACCGGCAGACCGAGTCATGCCACCTCTAACAATCCCGCCGTTGGACAATTCAAAATCGGAGAGCATTAATCTTGAAACTACAATAGAACCAACCAACAGCTCTACCACTTCATTATCAGTTCCAGCTTCTAACGATACTGGACCTGTTTTGGAGCCGCCGCCCGAGCCTGAGGAAGAGACACGACCAGGATTAGGGCCTATGATCAGACAAAAGAAGTCAAAGGGTGATATTGCCGGAGCGCTATGGAAAGCTGCATCAGCTGCCTCGGCTTTTCGTCCTCGTCCAGGTGGTGCCGGAGAGCGTTTACGTCAAGCGCAGCTTAAACCTGAGGGACCTGACGGCATAACTGGCGTCGTACCTGCGCCGCCTCGCCCCGTCACCCCTGACATATCTAAACCCGTTTCCGGCCATGTGGAAACGTCAACTGAAAGCCCGAAGCCTGCTGCTGGCGGCTCACCGGCTTCAACCCGGACTTCTACGGCGGTTCCAGAGGTAACCGTTACTATTCCAAATGCCAGTCAAGCAACGACTGTTGAGCCAGACAAAGGCAAGAAGGAGGAAGCGCCCAAAGAAGAACCAAGAAAGTCTATCGTGACAGGGAATGATGCGAAATATCTACAAAGTCTGAGCGTGGACCCGAGCCTTCTCGATGATCGGAGTGAGGAGTTTGGTAAGTGGCTAGACTATTTTGGCTGGGTTCCCGGACGGCAAATGCGCTCTCATTCGGCGGAGGAGATAAAGACAGATGTGGAAAGAGAGATCAACAGAGCTCAAGCTGGTGGTTGGCTCGCCAGATTTCAAGAGGAAGACGACCGAGTAGAAGCTATCAAACGGGGCATCGATCTAGCCATGGGAGAGTGTGAAGAGCTGGATAATCTTCTAACTTTATACTCTGTCGAACTTTCGGTAAGATAAGCCGGGGACACTAAAATATTTGAGGGTAAGCTTCTTGGCTAACACATTCTACTAGACGCTGTCAGATGACATTGCCTATATCGAGGCTCAAGGTCAAGGTCTTCAAGTGCAAACAGCAAATCAAAAGCTTCTGAAAAAAGAATTGGAATCACTATTAGAGACTTGTGCTATTACAGCAGGAGACCTGGAGGCTCTGCGGCTCGCGCCTTTGGACAATCTGCGGGGTCTAGAGGATGTCGAGGCAGCCCTTGTGATACTCTTCAAGGCCATGATTAAAATTGACCCTTCTTTAGGAGGCATTGAACCAACACCAAGTACCAAGTCTAGCACCAACCAACCCCCGGTTTTTAACTCCGATTACGACAACATGAGAATCGTTCAGGAAAAGAAGCAGATGTACCTTCAGCAGAGCGCATTCTTTATGCAACGACTTATTGAGTTCATGTCTCGCCAGTTTGATGAGGCGTGCGCCGGTTCAAAACGTGCGCTAGAAGGTGCTCTCTCCAAAAAGGTCGACTCGTCCCACTACGATGCCGGCCGCGAGTTGCTGTGGCAGTACAGTCCCCTGATGCTGTATGCTCGAGACGTTGACCTGAACAATTGGAATCACCTCATCCAGATCTATCAGGACAAGAGCCACCCGCTGTACAAGGGCCAATTCCAAAACGTCATTAGTATATGGCGTAAGAATGCAAGAAAGACAACAGGAGAAGAAGCCGAACTCCTGTTCTCATCGCAGGTTGAGAAACAACAAGAGGGCGTCGCAACCGCCGCCAGAAAGATGACAGTGAAGCGCAGTCAGACCCTGGCCAGAGCTCTTCGGTCGCCGCTTGCAGACAGCGGTAACCGGGCCAATCCAGAGAAATCGCCTACATCCGACAGCAGAAGCTTTCCATATGAAGTATTCTCCGGCGTATTGGATGACCTTTTGCCGTTGGTTGAGATGGAACAAAACTTCATCATCGACTTCTTCCATGCGACTACTCTGGAGCAGGCCGATTTCACTGATGCTGTGGCAGTGAACGCTCCTCGAGACCGACGCGGAGGGGATTTGAAGCGTCACCGTTTGATGGAGCCAGATCGTGACTTGGCACGAAGAGTGACTCGTTCTATGGAGGTGATATTTGCCTTCCTTGAGTCTGAATTGCAGCGACTCATGGAATGGGTGGTTGGACAAGACGCATTGTAAGTCGTTGTGTTCAATACGGACCGACTCTCATACTAATCATCTTTACAGACAAGGAGTCGGTGTTCTCGCAGCGCTTGAAAGGAAGTTGTCAGAAATTAGTCAATCTAACCAGGATTACCTAAACACATTATTGCAAAAGCTGCACAGTCTTCTGGAAGGTCGCTTCAGCAAGTTTGTGGAGGAGCAGATCAAAGCCATTGAGGAGACAAAGGTCAAAATTAACAAGCGAAAAGGAGTGATTTCCTTCTTCCGCGTCTTCCCAGCATTCATGTCGGCGGTAGAGAATATGATAAGCGGACTCGATGCGAACTCGGCGCTCCGACGCATGGTTGACCGAGAGTACGATCGCATTCTCAAGTCCATGTTTGACTCGCTCATGGTCATTGCTCGAGAGCGGCCAGCTGTTGTGGGCGTGTCCAGCGGGCCGGCTGATCCTGAGGACAAGGAAGCACTCAATTTCCACATCTTGCTCATCGAAAATATGAATCATTTCCTTGAGGAAACGGATACGCGGGGCCTTGAAGTGCTCGAGGAGTGGAAAGACCAAGCTAACACCGAGTATCATGAACACATGGACATGTACCTCAACGCTGTCATGCGCAGGCCCCTTGGCAAGCTGCTTGACTACCTTGAGAACATCGAGGCACAAATACAGTCGGGCAAATCACCTGCGGCCATTGCGCAACAACCGTCCAATGACAAGGCCATATTCAACAAGATTCTTGGAAACTTTGATTCCAAGGAGGTCCGCAAGGGGGTAGAAGCCCTGCGCAAGCGCGTTGAGAAACACTTTGGCGATGCCGATGACCCTGCGCTCAGTCGTGCTCTAGTGGCAAAGGTGACATCTGAATGTGAGAAATTTTATCTCAATGTGGAAACCAGAATCGGGCAAGTCACCACGGATGTGTACGGGGGCGATGTGCCCTTTGAATGGCCTAGAGCTGATGTCAAGCTGGCCTTCAGATAAGTGGCCAGAATGGGCAGATAGAAGAGCTTTCATTATTGGGAGGAAGCATCATTGATTTCTGATTGGAGCTTGCATACGATAGCGAGGCTGTTTAAAAGACGCACGGGCATGAAGCATGTTGGCGTCTACGAACGCATGTATACTATCACGGAAGATGAAGTATGTGAGCAATGAAACCGATGTTTGTTGTAGCAGATTGACTGAGAGAGTGGGGCATTGAATACTACTAATGACGAAGCAACAATGATTTGCAATGTCCACCTATATTAGGGTTAGGGTTGCGTTTTTGACCGGGATGCCTCATGGGTGCCCAACGCGTAAAGTGAGACGCGTTGACCATTGCCCCACCGCCACCTTTGGCATCATCGTTCATCTTCCATGAAGCTCCCCATCTCATGAACCTCTGGATATAAGCTTTCTGTTTATCTACTGCGCTCTCCCATTTGAAGTCCCAAAGGTAGACGCCAGCGGCCATGGCCCCCGAAACACGTTCTCGTGGCGTCCCTCCTTCCAGTCGAGTATATAACTCCTCGCCCTCCTTGCAACAGGTACAATTCCCTGCGCGACGAAAGAAGATTCGCAGATATGGAGGCTCTGAGCGTCCGAGCCTGAAGCAACAGACCTTGACTCAGATAGATTTTGTCTCAGGCTTCGGCGAAGACGTTATAATCCTCAGCGATAGCGATGACGATATCCAAGATGAAGACCTCGGTTCAGAGGACAAGGAGAATATGAAGCCGAGTTTACCAAATGGGCAGGATCAAAACGCGCAAGAAGAGGAAGAGAAAGGAAAGGAAGAGGCGGAAGATGACGAGGAACCTGTTTCAATAAGACGGAAGAGAGCAGCTCCGTCGATAAAACAGAGCAAAAAAAGACGACGAACCATGGGCGATGAGTCAAAGAAAGCGATTACGCCCAGGAAGGAGGACAAATCGCGGCGGAAGACGTTGGACGATATGCCAACACGTTCGAATTATCATACGCAAACACTCACGCAGTTCTTGGGTCACCAGACATCCTTCGTTGCCGACTCGGATGACGACCTAGATCTTGACAAGGATGATGGAGACGATGGATTTCTTTCGTGGCTAGGCGAACCCGGTAGTCCGAGCACTGGGCGAGGCAAACGGGACTTTTCATCGCCAGCTATGAAGCGGCGTCATGAAGCAACGGCTGCAATTACTGCCTCAACTGCGGATGTAAGCATGTCTCGGGAAGATTCTATTATTCCCCAGACCCCTGCGAAGAAGAACACTGCCATTAGATTTGATCTTCCCTCGGGGGGGTTACAGTCTCCCAGTCAGAGAATGGTTGAGCGCTACGGGGCGCCAGATCAGCAAGACTCGCCATTGAAGAATCATACTTCGCCCATGAAACCGCCTCTCGTGAAACTGACTGGGGAGCCACGACGTGTCTCGCCGGGAGTTGCGAGACGGTCTTCACTGGTTATTCAAGACTCATATACAACAGATGGTTGCATCACGCCCAGCAAGAACCAAGCAAAGGTATCACAGAGTAAAACACCAACCCCTTTGCGTGTTTTGTTTGATACACCGTCTATATTAAACCCTGTTGGGGACGACGACACGCCGACGAAGAGGAGACGCCCTCGGAGGAAATCCCCTTCACCAAAGAAGCTCGCCGCGAAGGGCGTGCTATATGAGATCCCTGATTCCGATGGGGAGGATGACGGGTTCGGTGAAGAAGATGAAGATGACGGCAAAAACCTAGACGAGAGATATGGTGTCGGCGTTGAGACACAGCTGGTCTTGAATGAGCTGGTGTCTACAGAAGAGAGCCAGCACAGTTGCCACGATGCAGTGCCTTGTTCGCCACCGACATCAAGGATGCATACACAGGCCGAACCTGTATCGGCAACAGTCCAATACGAGCAACAATCTACAGCAAATCAGCCAATCCATGCATCCTCAACTTCATCGAGGCCAACAACTCCGCTACGACCCAAACCCATCCGCAAACCTCTGCCCCATCTCTCTGTCCACACTCAAATCCAAAGCCAACCTTTCGAATCTCAACGTGTCCATGTCTCCATTCTCCAATCCCTCCCCGCTCCATCCGCAAGATCAGACATACTCCTCCCCGTCTCAACGGCCTCCCTCGAAGGCCTCATAACCGGAACCACGGTGCACGTCACCACATCCTTCAAAATCCCCTCCCAGGTCGTCCGCTTCTGGCTCTTCGAGAACGGTCTCCTCCGATACATGACCTCTGTCGAGCCAGGTCAGCAAGTCCCACCTGCCAGCTTCTCCTCCTCTTCCCAGGGGAGATGGCAATTCCACACCACCCAAGTATACGAACTAAACAACCCCGTGTGTGAAGACGACATGCGCCAAGAAGGATGGTTGCGTGGTCAAATTGCCCGATACAAATACCTGCCGCCCGCTGTCATCGGACAATTACTATGGAACTTGAGACACGCCCTATTTGCCGACGAGCCCTCTGAGCAACAAGTCGCCAGTTCACCCGTCCATCCCAGCTCTCAGCCCAAGCTGCCTCAAGGAGACGACGAAGACCGCGCACGGAACTGTCCCCCCAGCTCCACACCACCAGGCAGCATGACAGTGTCGCAACAGATCACGGCCCAAATCCACAGCGACATCGCATCGTCCACTCAGTTGCCAACGTCAGACGACATGGTTCCATCGACGCCAGACTTCAACGAGCCCCTTAAACTCCGCTCCTCGTCAAGAACAACCACTCTCCCTACCCCCTCGGCACCCAAGCAACCCTCAAGAACCGTCCGGCCTTCCCAAGCCACCACCCTCTCGCAACCATCCACCCCCGAGAAACAGACTCAGCAGCCAGCAAGCATGCCCCCGCCTCCGCCTCCGCCACTCAATCCCTCCCAGAGCAGTGTGCAGTTCGCTGAAAGCAGTTACCTCAGCAGCTTGCCCATCCCGTCTTCTTTGGGATCCACGTCACAGCTCTTGACAAAGAGTCAGATGCTGCCGGACAGTTTGATACAGGACCATGCCCCACCCGTACAGCCCGAGATATGGGACTCTGATGAAGAGGATGCTTCTTTGTAGGTGGAGTTGAGTAAATTGTGCGTGTTGGCGGAATGAGATGTAACACGACCGATATGGAAACGTGATCGTATATACCACATGTAATTTGGAGGATCCATGGTGTTCAGGCATAGCGCTATTCGTTTTTTGTTTGACATTGTATCTTTGTTAGTTCACACAATCAAACAACATACAGACTTTCATTGTGATTCACTACATGAAATTATGCGCATAGCACTTACGCATGGCTCACGCGTAAATACATAATATAGCCGAGGTGCCCCCCACGCATCATATACTCATATTCGATGAGTCAGAGGGGCCTCATCAGAGCATAGTAAACGACGTATCTATGCATCTCCCACAGAAAGTTGCCGTCATATGAACAAAAGTCAATTTCTATACCTAACTGCCATGCCTGATTCATGTGTTTGCCTGTCTGCACTTCGTCACTTTTCTTCGTACAATAGGAACCAATTTTCAAAGGCTTTCAGAATCATCCGTTCCAGCTTTGCTCGAGAAAGAATTGTTGAAGCCGGCATCCATCACCAAAAGCCTGCAAATGCAATAAGTATGTCACAAGGTTTTCATCCGTCTATCCATTTTTCTCTCCGTCGCTTCCCAAGACCACCATTACGTTCTCCGTCATGTCATTAAATGCGCCAGTGATTGGTGGGAATGCTTCAAATGTGTAGTACACAAGACGCTTCATGTTTGCAGAGTTTGGTGTGAAAGAATTAAGACATGGTCAAGTGCAGTTTCATCCGGGTTCCGTGTGGTCTTTCTTGAAGAAAGGTAGGCGGTGTGTTTGAAACCCTCACGACCATGATCGTGTAAGTTATTATGATAGGTGAAAGGCACCCTGGCCCTCCTTCATCGCCTTGTATAGTTGTTTTTTCATCGTCTGGATAGTAGTGTAATCGGGTAACTTCAAGTAGTTGACGCACGTCATGACACTGGGTAGGTAGTCATCAGATGTGTAAGGGTCCTCGCTTGGTTTGCATACAACGGTAAACATTGGAGTCAAGCTTCGGAAGCCTGTTGCAATTGTTAGCATCTTCGTGTTTCTGACAGATGGAAAGCAACAATGCTCACCTCCAATTGGAAGCTTAGGGCTACCCGTAGTAAATTGCAAAAAGTCACGTCGCTGTTGCACGTCAAACTCGCTCATGGATTGTAGCAAGTTCTTCACGCTACGGCTATCCATGTTGAAGCCATGATCGGCCTTGATAGAATCGGTAAGAGCTGGAAAATGAATCACGTTAGCCAGAGTCTCCATTGCAACATTTGTGACGCACGTAGAAATAACTTAGGGATAGCATACTCTCTAAAGACCAATCCTCCTCAACTTTTCCAAATAAGCTCACAAGCTCATCTGGAGTGAACGCACTCAGTGCAGAGTAAGGGAAGACTTGTGAAAAGCCGCTTCGGAACGCGTCGACTTGCTGACGGACACCAGATCCGAGAGTCATATCAATGACCTTTTCAAGGTAAATGTCCACGTTCTCGATGGTTACACGCTTGTGAGATCCATGATCCTCAAGTTCAATGTTAGGATAACCCGGTAGGGTGAAATCCAGGCACAGATCATCCAAGCGGACGTTATCAATCACAATGGACTCTGTATCTGCTACTTTCTGTGCAGCCGTACGGTTGGGATCCTCGTCAATCTCCTTCTTGGCCAGTGCAAACTTCTTGATCGTCTTCAAAGAACGAGCAAGACCAGGATCAACTATTTTGACGGCCCCAAGGGAAGGTTTAATGCCTGTACTTGGAGCATCGCCGATGCGGAAGAATATCGGGTTAAAGTGAATATCAATAATGCGAGAATCAATCATTGATCGAGCGACGAACTTGCCAAGCATCTTGAACAAATGGAGGATCCGCTCCCCATTAGGCGCTGAGAGCTCCTCCTGGTTCAGAGGCCGTGGAAATAGCCCAGTCTGGCCTGTCACAAACTCATCGGATCCA